CTCGTCTCCCAATGGCCGAGACATCTCCAGAGCCATCTCCAGAGCCATCCCCAGAGCCGCTGTCTCCACCTGCACCTTCTCGTCGGCTTCATCGGCGAAAACTACAGGTATTATCACCCGAGGATTCTCCCGTGGTGTCGCCCGTATCTTCTCGTCACCATTCTTCTGTGGAGTCTCCTGTACCTTCTGGTTGCCATTCTCCTGTGGTGTCTTCTGCGCCTTTATGTCGCCCAAAACTGCAGGTTTTTGTTGAGTTACCTGTCGCCCCTCCGTCCTGGAGGTTGAAAGCAGCACAAGCAGCATGGGAGCACTCTTTGCCTGTCAGTAGACCGGAAACCAGCTCGCTCATCCCACAGATTAGCTGCCTCACTCAGCTTTCGGCTACTACAGATGTTGTCGATGAGGAGGGAGAAGTTGATGGGCTACTCACACAGCTTTCAGCGACTGTGATTGCAGTTGGTACCATTGATGAGGAATAAGTAGATACCGGGCTTGTTGTTTTTCCTGGATGCGAAGTATAATCAAGGGAGTCTTTTGTTCTGTATCTTTGTACTCTAGAAATCGTCACAAAGTCAACCAGATTGTACCGACCTATGTGTACCTCGCGGGAATTAAGAATTTGTACTCAAAGGGAAACATTTGACAATTTTTAGCTTAAGGGAGAGGAAGAGACGAGAGTGCCTTGTTACAATCTTAGATCCATCATGCTGATCTCCTGTTTAGGCTCGTAGACGCACCTCCCGAGAGGTATGATAACCAATCAAGTTGCGAATAAAACTCCTATGAAACAGAAAACATATCTCTGGAGCATGATATGGAACAATCTATGGCTATGAATAGGCCAGAACTAAGGCCCTCACCACCCCGGTTCGGATGAGATACATATCTTGAGTGCTTTATCATGCAGAGCCACCTTACTTCGTGTAACACTGGTATACGTTGGATTGCTTCATCGAGTTGTAAGTGATTTTAAGTGGCTCGTATGGCATTGTATGGCAATTTGACTTGTTCGTGAGTCTGACCTTGGGCTATCCTCAACTACTCGATTGTAAGTAAACACACCATTATCAACCGGTATCCAGGTCAGCATGGATGTTTGCCCTTGACTAGTAGTATATATCTACAGGATTGCAGTGACTCTAAGTTGTTCGTACTTCAAGTCGACCTGTTTGTGAGTTTTGACAATCCTGACCTTAGCGGTCGTGAGCCTGACCTTGGGCTATCCTCAACTACACGATTGTAAGTAAACACCATTATCAACCAGTTTCCAGGTCAGCATGGATGTTTTCCCGTCCTTGACTGTTATATATCTACAGGATTGTAGTGACTCTAAGTTGTTCGTACGTCAAGTCGACCTGTTTGTGAGTTTTGACAATCCTGACCTTAGCGGGCCCTCAACTACATCATAGTAAGTAAACATACCATTATTAACCAGTTGGTTGGCTTGACTTCATGAATGGTTTCTCAACTGAAGTAGTATATGTCTACGGGCGTCGGAATGCCTGTCCTTATTGTCTTAGCATGCTGCCAACCAGGTGCGATACTCAATCCTTTTTGTGTTTTCGCAGTACTCAAGTCAGTTCAGCACACGTCTTCGGGAGAGTTGTAGACAACTGTGTGTATCGCATGTCATGGAGCAGGTATTGTATCTACTAGTGTATGTAGATAGTGTCTGAAAGCTATCATATCCTCCTCGCATATCCCTGGTCTATGAGCTCCCCGCAAGATGGCTGCAATTGCCGCTAGGACCCAGAGACCGCAGTCATAGCCATTCATCTGCAGTGGTTTGACTATTAGTGGCCGGGCTACCCACCCTCGAAGATCAATTTTACACGAGCTGCGACGTTGGTAAGCGATGGACGATAGACGTGCAATAAGATGCATAATGTCCTGTTATCAGATCATCGTCAGTTTACCAGAGGACGACTGAAACTATCACTCACTTTCACGTCATTTTTCCATGGCTGTCGCTCAGCCAGGCTGTCGAAGAGGTGAAGCTCCTTCGTTTGAATATAAATCGCACAAAATACCCAGTGTCCGACTGGTGAGGGGCGATGAATGGGTAAGATCCAAATGTCTTTCTCCCAAAACAATGTCCACGAAGTATTTCGCCACAGTACTTCATCCGACGCATTGTATTGGATACGTGGGAGGTCGTGCATGGAAAGAACTGCACAAGGCTGCACATGTGAGGTTCTGAGTATTTCAGAGTATAGTAGTGCCGTGCAGCCATTAATACATGTGTCGTTGAGACGGGCAGTCGGCTGAGCCAGGAATGACTAATCCCTTGGGTCGAATACATGACTTGGAAACCCATCAACTGCTGGTCATACTCGGGTCATGGGAGTACATGCGACTGATACTATTGGATAATCCTCTGGGAGAGGAGCTTTGAAAGGATCCGTGCGTATATTCTATGACATTTGATAAATGCAGGTACATATCGAGAGACAGGAACATACCTCTGGCATTGTCCAGGTAATCACAAATTCAGGTGCTTCCACAGCTTCATCATCCTCGTCATCGCTAATGGTACCATCAGGCAAAATGTCCATGAGTACCGCTTCTTCAGTAACTTCTTCGAATGCAGGTACAAGATATTCATCAGCATCATCCTCAGGGGAGGGATCAGTGAGCGAGGTTGGTACAAGCCTATAGAGGCCATCTTCCAATGGTCCCTCGCTGTCAGACAGACTCATCGCAAGATTGACCGCTGCTGTGGCGTTACTGACGAAGCGGATGGAGGATACAAGTGGCGTGACCCATTTAGTTTGCAGCTGGAGAATGTGATCCCGCCGTTGCTGCAGGGAAAATATGAATGTATGATCTTCTAGGATCAGTGCTACTCTTCAATATACTAGTATATCAAACAACTCACTTGTGGGAGAGCGTAGGGCAAGTTCTAGTGCGGCCAGCTCATCTCCGAACCACCGACAAAGGTTATCTGCCTCGATCCCAAGGCGGCGCTGTTCTTCTCGGCAACGTTTTCATTTGAGCAAGGCTCGTATACCATCTCTGACGTCAGCATCTTGCATCCAACGGGGGACATCTCCTACCGATGGAGTAATCCATACGTCCTCCATCAAAGTTTGATCATTTCAGAGGTCAGCAAGTTTGGTAGGCAGAGCAGCAGGGAGCGGGACACCCCAAGATGGGTCATAGAGATTCTCCAGGCGCTCACAATATGAATTAAATTTGCAGATCGCAGTCATTAAAGCAGGCTGCCGCTTCGCAATAGCTTTACATGTTTGCTGATGTAACTTGGTGCCTGTTAGAATAAGTCAGAATGTGGCAACGCAGAAGTAGTCGACATCACCAAGGGCTTGATTTGCTCCGCCGACAGCACGGTCGAGTTTATCCCACTCGAAGAAGCTGCCTATGGCTCACTTGCGGATATTTATTTTGAGGTCGCGGGCCATGAGTAGTGTTCAGACGAAATCTAAGTCGACACCTTGCAGTTCTGGAAACCTGTCATGGACGTTTAGGGAAGAATACAATACTTCAACCTTGTTCATCAATCGGTCATGGCTGCGCTCGAGGCTCTCCAGAGCATCAAGTGTCTCCTCGGTGACCGAGCCCTTCTCTACTACAGTGCATGTGGCTTGCAAGGCCTTGTCTGAAGTGTCCAGATCAGACTGTAGAGCAAGGACGACATCAAGCTCTTTCTTCAATCGTGCAGGAGCATCTTGAGATTGCGATGTGTAATGTTAGTTGTGATTTTGAATGACTGACCCAGACGTACGTGCACGAATAGAGAGTTGCGATTTCTTCTGATCCTCCCACTGAGCCTGGAGGTCGTCAGCTTCGATGCCGCATTTGGTCAGCGCTTCCTTTGCTGCTGCACCCTGAGCATTAATGCCACGTTTGAGCCTCCGCTTGATCCAATCACCGAGATCTACTCGCATCTCCAGACCGATGGCACTAGCTTGTCGGTCTATCAACCAAAGGCGCCTTTGTCGCTATGTAGTGGATTATTATCAATGTAGGTTCATTTAAATACTGTTAATTCTTACCGATGAAGAACATTGAATTCCGATCAACTTAACAAACCTGGACCAAAGTCTCTCTGTACCCTTGCCATCGGACAGACCAAGGCCAGTGCACAACCGAGGGTTGTATTCGAGCTGACATGCCCACTTGTGGCCATATGCGTGCATAGCGGTGGTCGCGAATCGAAGACGGGAAGTCACAGAATCAGGTAGGATGTCATACTACATAGTCAGATGTCAGACTGAGATAGGATTGATTAAATGATCGCTTACCTGAGATAAGGAGTGTGAGAGGACGCAACCAACATCGTACAGTATGACGACAGTAGCTTCCTGCGGTAACAGAGATAATAAATGTTCAATTAGTGCGACTGCATACTTCTGCTGCTCGCCAGGTGAGTCGATATTAGCGAAGAAGAGTGGGATGTCATGACGGCAAATAAGGGCCATGACGCCAGTATCATCAAACGAATCCATGGCTGCCTTTTGCTTCTTTCCATCTGCAGCTTCATATGAATGCTCGCATTGGTTGATGGCTTCATCCGGAACTACATGTTTACGATTCTTGGGAGCACGCTTACACTTCGAGATGATCTGTCGTCCAACTTCGTCAACCTGGGTCTTTGGAAGGAAATACGAAGGCTCGTAAAAGCGCGGGCAATCACCCGCAGATCGTCGATGGCGATGATGGAAGTTGCCATCTGTTGCAACATGGATATCTCCGCCATCGCTGAGTGGCCTGCCGAATACGATACCTCCAAAACATGCAGGGCAGCGCTGCATGAGAATAGAAGCACATTGTCCTGGGAGCAGGGAGTGCATGGGAGTCGAATTGCTACCGTCCTCTTGATATCGATGTCTCTGAGCCTCATAGACCCGCTCTCGACAGATCTCTACCGTCGCCTCAGTCTGTCATTCGACCTCAGTCTGCAATATGTCAAACCATTGAACAGCTTGGCCAAGGCCCCGTCTGAATGGCTCTTGGATGACTTGTCCCTGTAGTGCAATGAGTTAAGGTTGAAAAAGGCAGATGAAACTCACGTCTGCGTTGATCATCTGAAAACCTCTGCGAGCGTAATGCGTTTTGAGGGCAGAGGCGAGAGCATGCACAGCATCACACGAGCGCTCAAATAAGGCACAATAAAATGCAAGGAGATCGACAGAAACTGCCATACGTGGTTGGGAAGGTGCAGTGGGGAAAAGCCCATGATGAACAAGGACTTGCGCGAGCGTGGAGCATTTGCAGGATAATACATCGATAGAATTGAAACCTGTAACTGTCAGTTGGAGTGATACGTGACGAATGAACTACCTACGGTCGAAAAAGATGCAAATAACAGAGAAATGCTGTTGTGCACAAGCCTGGCTCGCACAGGCAGATATGACAGGATGGGGTGAAGTGAGAGGTTGCCCATGGGTTCGTGCAGAATATTTGAGGTGGGCATCCACCAAAGTGGGGATAAGAGTTTTCTAAGCACTATAGAGGTTGTAGGCCATCTTGTCTGGTAAGAGACGGCAGCCTGTACCCTCACGCACCACAGGTGGAGGACAGGGTACTTGTTGGTCATGCTGGTCGTCGTTGGTCGCATCGTAGTCTTGCTCATCGTAAGTGTAACTTATAGCATCGTTAACACTCATTGGGGTTTCGGAATGAGCTGCAGAACTAGGACCGGGGGCATCAATTTGGAATCCTTGAGGATTCATTAGGGCGGCCATTTGGGCGAGGAGGCGCTCGCGTTTAGAGCTAACGCCTGGAACATGAACAATAGTTTGAGTTTTTTTGGGGTTTCGAGCCTTCTTAGGGCTAACAAAGTGGTGACCTAGCCCTGTAGACGTTGGCTGACTGCCACGCGCCGAGCGGACAGGCACCATAATGAATGACTGTAGTAGCGTAGAAGAAAAAAGACAAGAGGAAAGAAAAAAGACAAGTGAAAAGGGACTTAGCAAGTAAAATAAAATTGGTCGGTGCACCATGGACTCTACCCAGATGTTCAGACAGGGTGTCGAAGAGGATTTATTTCAGTGTTCAGAGGACGTGCAGAAGAGGATCGCCACGATGATCCAAGAAGGGCCGCGATGATCCAGGCAGTGCCACGAGGATGTGCCGAGGTCCTGCCGAGCATTTTAGGGATGGTTTCATAGGTGCTATTTTTAGAACATCCGGGAGGTTGGGTCTAAGAGATGGGGTTGTACCTAACATAATAATACGGTCTCATAGACTTTTATTGATACCGAAAACTGATGCCTGAGGTGAAAAGTGACCCATAACCGGTTTGCCTCCCTGCAATCCACTTATTATCTCAGAAGTTGTTGAGCAGGAGTGTCGCGCCCCAGCACAACAAGTAATCTTCGTCCTGTTTGCTATCTGTAGATCCCCACAAGCATACGGAGAAATATCGTGGGAGAAATCCAACAGACTCCTTAGATCACCAATACTGGGAGGAGACAAGAATCTGGCATCGACACACACCGAGATCGCACAGTACTCTCTTTTGAAAAAAGATGCAAGTGAAATGAATTGTTATCGTTTTTGCAATGGAGGTGCTGGCCCATTAGTACACCTCTTGTGTTGATGATGTCTCTCCTGACTGCCAGTTGCAACCGCTGGTCGATCTGCCATAAAATGATCAACGAGCCAAAAATCTATGACGAGCAGAGAGTGGTTAGCGTGTTAGACATTACAGTAAAAAAGTGCTCGCCTCGTTCGAAATAATTGATGGGTCCTCATACATTTATGTAAACCAACGAAGGCTGAATCGTGTGAATTTGTTGCGGACACTTTGACTCGCACCTCATGAGCGCTACGCTTGATACATCCAAAATGGTTATAGCTGGCCTAACATTAATATTTTATTATCTAGGACCTGAGGCCTCGAGGCCTGATGGGCCACCGTTACGCCAAGCTCCAAGTAGGACACTCGTGATTCGCCGTTCATTTTGCGCCGGTAAACCTCACTGCTATTAGTAGCGCTCAACGTTTGCTCAACTCCCACCCATCCCATTCGTGAGAACATGAGTGCTAACACGAACAACCTCTCTTCGACTCCACAGACCATTTATGTCAAACATGCGATTCATCCAGAGAGCGGTGATTCCTTCCGCGCTGTAGCAGCTTCCACTAAATCTCTCAAAGCAAGCCAGAAGGACTTCGGCGTACAATGTACGCAATGTCAAACGAAATTGGAGAAGCCTTTGAAATGCGCAAAGGTGGTGGTCAAATATTTGAATACTCTTTCAGCCATTAATCGAGTGTTGCAATATGCTTTTAGTGTAAGGGCGTCTGGTATTGCTCAAAAGAGGTATGATTTCCGACTGAAATGACACTGAAGTCTGAAGGGTTGTGTGCCTTCTTGTGTACAGTGCCAAAAGAAAAATTGGTAAGAGTTCTACCTATGATTAAACATATTGGGCCTCACTCTACATGGGCTCGATAATAGGTCCACCCACAAACCGGCATGCCATGAGGTCGAACGCTCCTCGGGGGTATTCAAATTCATACAAATGTTCGGTGTAAACCCGGTGCTCATGGGGCTCCTCAAAGTCGCTATCATCTTTGACTGTGGCCTGTTCGAGAATCCCCGGATCGGATTCGATGTGCCATTCATGGCACGTGCACGTGTTGACATTGCAATAGAACCTAGTGATGTTCTTGACTTTGTTAGATTGTATTTCAATGACAAGGCTGTTGGAGACAAACTTCAAGGGATGTTGCAAGTCAATACGATCATTCCGTGGCACCCAAGAACGCAAAGTCCCTTTATGCCGAAGCGGCTACAGCTGTGGCGTGAGGCTCGAGCAAAGTATAACTCAGAAGGTCTTGCCAAAGATCCCGTAGGACTCGTAAAGTTCATTGGCTGTAGTTGTGCAGAGGACTCAAAGAACTCATTGACTGCTGAGTTGCACATCCCGGCTGTTGTCCTTGACATGGCAAGGCAACGCGAGCCCTTCACATTTGTCTCTGCTGTCACGGGCATGCAGTTTAACAAACCCATGAGCACTGTGACATGTCTAGAGTATGTTCTCCGTTCTCATCCTTGGATTCTAGCAAGCGGCGCTTCTTACATTTACATTGCACAGGTACATCAATGTGCATATTCGAGCGGACAAGCAGAATCAGCTACGTTTGCGGGCTGAGATGACAGAATAAGACAAGCAAGCTATTCGCGCTGCAGGTCGTAATGAGCATACATTTCCGGCTCGTACCCTCAAACAGAAGATGGAAAGAGAACACCTCTATGCTGGTATCATGGAAATAATACGTGAAACAGCCAAATGTGAGTGTGAGCTTTTTCAACTTCTCGTTCTGTACTAAAACAAGGAAGGATTCTCGTACCTTTCTGATCGGAGTCTCTTGTACGACACCTCTTGAATGGGCTGCCATTGACATGTGCGAGCGATGATCAGTCGCCAGCACAATCTTGTCCGATACCTGTGTACTATTAGTGGAAAAAAGTTGACTCGATATCAGCTGCCGCGAAATAGTAATCCACATACTCGCCAACGGTCAATATTTTCATTCTTCCTATATTTCAATCTCAATTGTGACTGATCTCAACGGGCGTTGAATCCGCGTTGTGACGCACCTATTTGACATAATCAAACACTTGATAGACTCAAAGATCGCTGCAGAGGACCTCAAACTCAACACGTGTGATCGATGAATGGCATAGAAATCGATCCCGTCATGGAGGTAGGTGTTCGACGAGGCTCGGTATCAGTAGCGGAGTTAAGTGTGTGTTTAGGGCGCTCACATTCTACACGTAGAACTCATGCCAAGAATTTGGAGATGGTGGGAGATAATTTTCAGTTACTGCCAAGGTACACATATTTGATGCTTGACTCACACCTTAGCAGTAGCCATCCAACTTGCAAGAAGTATTCAAAACTCCTATGTGCGAATTTTCTTGGGGATTGTAGCTTTCGTCTTGCTGAATATCTGTTTTAGTTGCATCCCTGATCTCACTGATCAGATAATCAAAGACTCAGACACACCGGCTGCAGTGGGCGGCTATGCGACAATCTTCAAGTGCAGCTGGAACTCGCCTTCTGAATCTTCTCCAGTAGGTCTCCCCTAGTTGACAATCGACGTCGGCTGATAATTCTAAACACTACCAGGTTGCGGTTCAGATCGTCAAGGTTCTGCATGACTCTGACCGTGCCTCACTCAGTATGTACATTGAGACGTAAGTCTTTGTGCCACAGAAACCATGTTTGTAAATGACATTGGACAATGCAGGAAATTAAGAACAGCACTTTCACCTGACTGATCAGGAGTGACACACAAAGGCCGCGACGGTATCGATCGTCCAGACGACTAGGCTGCGGCGTGCCAAAATAGTCAGCCACGGGACGAACAATAGCGGGAGAATGTTGTGAGCGTCTAAGTATGCACTTTGACGGATCTAAAGCATCTATTGCAGCTTTCAAACTCGCCGAATTGGTAACTCCGACGTTGTAACTAATATTTGATGGGGTAGCTCATCGCACAAAGCTGCAGTGTTTCTCTTGAAGTGCGTTTCGGAATTCGAGCTTGTTCGACAGTGCCAAGGATTCTAATGAAATGTTGTAGACTTGTGACACCAAAAGGTGGCTTAACTGATTGCGTATATGTTGTCGTTGTCTCACATTAGAGTGACTGGCTCTTCGCATGTACGAGAATGATGAACTATCACTTGACCATGAAGAGATGGGTCGGATGGGCCGGATATTCTGGGATAGAGATGTCCTCCTGCTGACGGATCTATTTGAGATTGATGCTACGCTGAAATATCTAATTCGGCAGTATCAAATCGGATTCAATACTTCATTCAGTCCTCGACTTTCCCTGGAAGAAGTTTTTGGAGCTAGCAGTTCGTCCGCCTCGTGCACAGGAATCAAAACTGCAGCATATCACAGCCTGAGATATTCCTGTTTACGCTTCCAAAGGATGATGGGTTGCAACACAGGAAGCCCGGGCGTCAAACTCCAATTATAAAACGACCAAGGATCTACTATGGGCCTTATCTCCACCTTATATCGACACTTCAGTATGAGCAAACACGCAGGAATTATTCATCACTCTCCGGACCAAGGCATTCTGCATTTGCCGCTTCAAGAGGTCGATGTGAGAGTATGGATGGTCGATAGTGCGTATTTCGATCGCTGTGCAGGCGAAAACCACTGATCAGCACGTCACTTTCCTCATACTAGTCTCTGCGAGGGTTGTGCTCTCGCAAGTGTTTGAGAACGTATCAGATAGCCCTACCAGCCGGGCCAAATATGTATTCCCTCTTCCAGCGAGCGCTGCTGCTTGTGCCTTTGAGCTCGAGCATGCCGATGGCCGCGTTATTGTCAGTGTCGCTAAGGAAAAGTCAGAAGCCGCACAAGCTTCCCTGAGTGCAATAGATGCTGGAAGGACTGCCGGACTTGTAGAATGGGTGACACACGACAGTATGACTGGCACATTTCGATGATACTGGATGAGCACTGACTTTGACTTTACTGCAGTATTCACGATCTCAATTGGCTCGATTTCCGCTCGACAGAAGGTCACAGCAAGATTGACAGTAAGTGCACTCTCGTTATTGAATACTTTTTCTGAAGAGCAAACAGTTTGTAATGGATCTTTTGGATGAAGGCAGACGGGACTAGGTCCGTCTACAGCTTCCGATGGCTATTGCCGAACGATACGGCGAGATTCCAGCAGCTATGCTCGATGCCTCTACAACTAATGAAGATACGTTCATCAAAATTGCTGCGGACGTCATAACCAGTGAAAAGATACAGGAGATATGCAGTCCTACTCACCCGACGATTGCTCGCAAACACTACAAGTCACGCATTGGGAAAAAGTCTGAACGACGAATGTTCGTAACTTGGTCGTCCAGGACGGTCCTCGACAAAGACTTCATATTGACAGTCCATGCTCTTGGATTCGACAAGCCTCGGTGTTTCGCTGAAGTCGATCCACAGGGTCGTGATACCATTGCTATGCGAGCGGATGCCATTTATTAGCAGGATAATGAACCTTATCCTTGAGCTCATACACCCATCATTATCTCCTCTCACAGATAAATGGACAGCCAAACACCCTCTGCACCTCACCTCAAATCCTTCCTCTACTCCTTCTCCCTCCTCGCCATCCCATACACCACCCGCCTCACTAGCTGGTTCAGAAGCGCACCAACATATGGCCAAAACCAATTATTCACGACTGGCCTTGTGGTTCTTCTCTACAACGTGTGTTATCTCACTCTTAGCCCAGGGTTCGAGATTCCTTTGGCGCAGGCGGGTGATGGATTGAGTAGTTTGTGGGTTGTGGGTTGCAGCGGAAAGCTTGGCGGCGTTTCGGCGCTCTATTCCTGCTTTGTCGTTCATTCATTTTATCATCCGAAGTGCACGTTCTCACGTTGATCTCCCCTTGCAGTCGGTCGCATTCTACTGTCCCGCTACTCTTACCTCCAACCCCTCCCTCAACTTTGCCCAAGTTCTTCAAGCTATTACTGCTAGTCCTGCTCGTGCAGCCAGGAGAGATGGTGGATGATTAGATGGTCGTGGTGATGAACAATTCGCCTCGCAAATTGTGAACGCTTGATCTTTCTCCCTTTTATTTGCGCTGTTGATATGTGGAGTAGGAACATTTGGAGAAGGAGCTCGAAGATGAGAGGGAATGGAACAAGGGCGACATCCCACATCTAGAATTGCTCGAGAAGCATTGCAAGGGGCGCGAAAAGGCTTATGAGGGATGAATGTGTGTTGCTCTTCCTACGCCAATGCTGATGTATCCTATCTTTTCAGGAAGTGAAAGCAGCAGCCGAGGAAGCGGCGAAGGATACGGTGCGGCTGGGACAACCTCATCCCTTACCAAAATCATCGCTGATCCATTGATAGACTGAATGATTTGATCCACCCGTCGAGCTCAAGTCGTGCTGACTGACCGCATCTCCCATCAGTACACAACCCTTGTGATGCTGTCCGGCCCAACTCTCGTGGTGCCCTTCGTGACCCCTCCTGTGGTAATTCTCGCGACCGCCTGCACCCACACGACCACCATTACCATATGCGTCATGCGAGGTCTTTAAGACTGGAAGATTCTCGTGATACAAAGTACTCCCGTTTTCCACAGAGCACCACTTTTTGCAAATTATGCTGTTGCTTTCATTCGACTTCGAGATCCACATCTCTGTTTGGTAACCTCGCGGGCTCAGGTACAAAAACATAAAGCTCGTTTTAATGACTTATGACCCGCTTATTGAGACCGAGGCAAAGGAAAAGTTCGCGGATGTCTATCAGCATTTGCTCCAAGCAGGCGTCAACAGGAATGAATCCGAGCGCGAGGCAAAGCTGAAGAAGACGCTCGCCAGTCTGCAGCGCTGCCTGCCTGGTCAGAGAAAGTCACCGCTCACATTCCATAGGCGTTCGCGGGCGCGTGGTCGACCTCTGTAAACCCACACAGGACAAGTACGAGACAGCTGTATCTGTCATCCTTGGGCGCAATATCGACGCTATCGTCGCGGATGAAGAGAAAACTGCCATCGAATGCATCGACGTGCGTTTCTCTGCCTTCTGTTATTGTCTATCTAAACTAATTTTGAAACATTATAGTATATGCGCACCCAGCGCGCAGGTCAAGCAACTTTCCTCCCCCTCAACACGACCAGCACCAAGCCAATCAACGACAAGTTCCGCTCATTTACTAGAGGTGCACCGTCTCGCTGTGGACGTGATCCAGTATGAGCCTGCCATAGAGCGCGCGATGCTCCATGCGTGTGGGAATGCACTCGTGTGTGACACGATGGATGTGGTGAGGTACGTGTGCTGGGAGCGGGGGCAGGAGGTGAGAGGTAGGTTGGCATTCATTTGCGGGAAGTTGGACGCCATGCTAACATTTGGGCAGCCGTTACATTGGCGGGCACTGTCATCTATAAGAGTGGGCTCATCACCGGTGGGCGCAGTACGCATGGTGGAGGAAAGAAGTGGGAGAAGGACGTGCAAGGTAGGCAGCTCACTGACCGTGGCGCCTCACACTCATTTATATTTAGGCTTTTCCTGTCTTCGTGACAATCTTGTGGCACAGCTTCAGGAATTGGATCACTCGATACCGAGGGGCAAGACAGACAAAAACGTCATTGCTGAAGTTACACGACTAGAGAGTGCTATAGCTGTTATAAGAGACGATCTGGTACGTCCTTGTGACAGTAGTCGGTGGCATTACCATAATCTCATTGTCTCAGTTCAACGATGTCAAGCGAAAAAGGTATGCGAATAGTTTACTTTGAGCGCCATCCTCATCCCAGTCACCCGATGCGAGTTATTCAACAAGGCATACAACCACATTTCAGATTGTATCGACCAGGTCTATAAAGACCTCACTAAAGGGAAGGCTTCGCCGATGGGAGGCATTGCATATCTTAGTTTACAGGACAGTGAGGTGAGTCTTTCAGTCTGTCAAGTCCAGGCAATTTTACACTTATTGATCACAGGAACCTTATAATGCCGGAATCAAATATCATGCCATGCCACTGATGAAGCGATTCCGTGACATGGAACAACTCTCGGGCGGGGAGAAGACTGTGGCTGCTTTGGTCTTTTCGTCTTCACCCCAAAAACCTTTGTTCTCACGATGTCTCAGGTTGTTAGCCTGCACCGTTCTTTGTCCTTGATGAAGTAGACGCTGCTCTGGACAATACCAACGTTGCTAAGATCGCTAACTATATCTAGAGTCAGGCAACGTCTGACTCCTTCCGGTGTATCGTCATCAGCTTGAAGGGTTCCTTGTATGAGCGTGGTAATATAATTCCCTTGTTGGAATCTACCGTGACCGAGATATAAATAGCTCTTACACGCTGACGAATGTGTGCGGGATCAGGCCTTCAAGTTCAGGAACTAAGGATAGCATTCAATGAATGTCGCATCCACATTCACAAACCAAGATTCAGCCATTGACCAATTTCTTCTCTTCATCAAGGTAGGTCAAATTCATCTCACATGCTCTCTGCCTCATTGCGTATTTCAGGTCGTTGCACTCTTCAACGCAGACCAACATGAGGAAGCGGTACCGCTTATCAAAGTTCTGGTTACCGCTTGTCCAAATGTTGATTCTCTCGTGCATCCTGTCATGGAAGTAAGTATCATGTGGCTACGCTTGGTCTTTGATGCTCATCTTTGCAACTCGCACATTAGATATCTGCACGTTCAGCCTGGGGTCAAAGCCTTCAACGGTGCACATTACAATGAAGCTGCTGACCTGCTTCGTCCTCATCGCTCTCGTCAGGATGAGGAAATGCGCGCAGGGTGACTAGTTTCTTCCGCAACAGTAGATTCATTACGATCGCTGGGCCTCCTTTTCTCCCTGCAGGCTGCAGGAAGCGTCTCTTACTACGTCATCGACATCGCGAGTTTGACGCTTACAATCAGTCGTTCGTTCCGGGTTGGAGCGAGCTCGCAACGACTCGGAAAATCCGCCGATTTCATAGCAGACACGTTGGTCACCCTTTTCGCAGCATCGGGCGCATCCTGTCAAGCGCCTTCTTCTCGATGTCGTTCACAACTAACCTGCATTTCGTGGAAGGTTATATTATGGGTGTACCTCCTTGTGCGTGAGGTCCTGACGACTGTGAAGGCCTTACTTCACCTGCTCCGAGTCGAACATCCCGACGACACGGATGAAAACGCCCCACTATACCCGCTCTATATGACGGTGGTGCGCACATTTTTTTCAGCTTGAGGTGAGCGATCAGTACCCTTGTATACCGCCGTGGAACGTTCACATCTTTAAATGATCAGTCCTGATTTATTGAATGATTTGTTAGATGTGAGTTTGATGCTTTTCAGTTGCAATGGCGCGATCATTGCGCATCGTGATGGGCCACACTCCTTTAAGACTCAAAGCTGATATTTTGGTTCAGTTATCTGAGTTGATGCCGACATCGTTCTCTTATCGTCCTACCAGTTATGTTCCGTCCGACAAGGTCCCAACTATTCACGCTGTTGTAACGCAGCGAAAGTTACAACCTGCAGCTCTCGATGACCACATCGACCTTCTTAACCGTGCATTGGAAAAATTACAAGGTATCCAAGCTAGATTGAAGGAGAAACGGGCCATCGTGCAAGAGTCGCTGGAATTCCACGAAGCCCTGGCATCTCCAGCATGCTGTTCGCTAACATCAGAGCCACTTGGATAGAGAGTTCTTCGATGTCTTCCCCAGACAAATTACGTTGCACCTTCATCGGATGAATGCCCAACGGTCTTGACAAGGGGGTCTGCCGTCACTGGCGAGTAGTTGCCCTGTGCACTCCTCGATTATGGGCGTCCTTAAGGATATCCTTGCTTAGGGTAGACACAACTGGTGGTGACGAGTACAAGCACTGGTTAAAAAAAAGCCAGCAGTGTTCCGCTGTCCATTCGTGTGGTGCATGACGTGGACCTCTCAGATAGGAAAGAGCCTCTTTCCATACAATGGATCCGACCTTTTTTGGGCCGATGTTCTGACCTTTGGTGGCATGAGCCTCCCGTCCAAGGTTTATTGGACAAATCTGTTCAGTCCCTGTCACACTTTCAGGTCACCTTCTAGAAAGCACAGCATTGGGCGCATCCTTTCAAGCGCCTTCCTCTCGATGTCGTTTACAACTAACCTGCATTGCGTGGAAGGTTATATTATGTAAATCATGTTTACATGTTCGTTTATCTATATTAACATCGGTGTTCGGTGTTGTTCTTGATGCGATTGCGGATGGCACATAGTGCTAGAGTTACGTGCCCGGACCGGGAAACGAAAAAAAAGCAGGACAATATTCAGCGGCTGAGAAGCGAGTTGAATGTTTCAAGGGTCGCATTAATGTTGACGTGAATGACAGCACGTGCAGAGGGTTTGACGAACCGATTTTTGCCGCTTTGGCATTCTCGACGAAGCAAGAAACTTACATAATTTATGTAATACAACTAACCTCGCAGCCGCCAGCCGTCTGAGAAGTCCACACCTATGGAGCCGTACGCGTCTGACTTCAAAAATATCTGTACACGACATCGATCGCGGTGGCCGTACCGGCAGCCCGCCTGCGATACTATGTGTAAATAGCTGATCCATAAACCAGTTGAATGATGGACATCGATAGACAATGGTTGCACGTTGAACTCAACTTATGACTGTTCAAATTGCTGGCTCATTGGAGTCAGTTGAAACTCTCAGATCGGGCTGGAGCTTTGTTTTGTATACATACGGACAGCCGAGCGCGTAGCGTTAAGTTCAAGCTAAGCTGAGTAAACTGCTAAAGTGCTACGCGAGTATCATAGTTGCGACAAGACAATGTAGACTAGCCTAATCAGTAAAGTTCGGCTCGCTTACTAAACCGAGCGACGAACGGCCTTGTGACTTAGTTTTAGTGCCTCTTAGGCGCCGGACCTAGTAGTAGCTATTCATTCAGAACACTACGGCGATGTACCAGGCCTTTTACAACCCTCAATTAACCTATCCAAATCTTGCGTTTAAGATCCGTGCACACGACGGGACGCCATCATAGGCGATAAACTACTAGTAAGTACGTCAGAATCGGACCATCGGATGTGCAGCGACTGACTTAAAATCTAAAGTGCAGAGGCGGAATGGAAGTCGTCTCCACCGCTCCCCCCCCCCTTCCACTCCTTCTCTCTTAATTTCTCCAGCTGCAGCTGCAGCTGCTGCACGTTCTTTAGCCCGTTCACCGGACGCCCACCGTCCTTACAACTCCCAGAATGGAGTACCCAGACGAGGTCGATGACCTTGTCCAATTCAGACTGGACCAATTCCTCGGCCAATCTCAAGACATGTTCACGCGCGTGCGAGACGATCGTCGGTCAGAGATCGATTTCATCCGTTTCGTATTGGCAGGTAGGATCGGGCCAGAGGCAGACGAGGAAGTCGACCAGTGCCGCATCACCCTGAATGCCCAGCAAGGCATTCCCCATGTTCCTCCTCGACCTGAAACCACCATCACTCGCGACATTGACTCTGTGATCGGGGTATCACGTTCGTTGCCTTACACAACGGCATTGTCGGTCTGGCCCGTCCCTCCTTTCAAGGAGACGTTGATCAAGGACAACCATCTCAAGAGTCTCGCATACGACCCTGAGGTAAGACACGTTCGATTAAGTGACTGGTAGTTATGGATCCTGACTATATTAAGGACGAGTTCAAGGATGCATATTTTGTGCACGAGGATGTTGCACTACCGATTGGCTTGCCAGGGCATGTTGCCACCTGGCGCGAGTCTTCTTACCGAGAGATCCTCAACTTTCTTGCGCCTGACGCAGGCCCTGACCGCATCGATCGCTTGATGAAGAAAAAGTCGGCGTTCCACGCTGATCGCCATTTACAAATCAAAGAATTCGCCGGCTTTCGTGCAAATACGACCACTGTCGCCCGCGCAGATGGTATATCATATATACAGGCGTATCGCACCGAAAAAAATGTGACGTATTCACTGAGCCCTGGAGTATTCCGGCAGCGTGGAGCCAAAGAGCTTTTGGAGAAGAAGACGCAGGAGAAGATGTTATTGGACTTGAATATCATGAGCGACGTATTTTTTGAATTCACTGGTGATGAAGTGGTCGCCGGTCGCGATAGTTGCGCCCACCTTGATATTCGGGTCCCGCTGGACAAGGCCTTGAACTGGCTGCCTACTCTCCCAGAAGACCTTGTCCAACGCTGCGTTATCAACAGAACAACGTGGTGGTAAGTACACATTCTCATGACATCCTGTTTTATTCCTGAGCCAATACGTCCCAGGTACTTCGTATATTATCGTCTCGCTGCCATTCGTTTGGTCCTCGTGAATTTGTCCAAAAACGGATGCCAGGGCACATGCTCTGGACGCTACGTTGGCACTCGGTGCTGTCTGCATTTATTCATTACATGCTCACACTTTAGCACCGACCTTTAGTGCATGTCCTTTGGCCTAGTACATCGCGAAATTATACAATTACATACCAATACTCACGCTATAGTACCGAACTTCAGTATTCATGTCCTTTGTCCGTATAACAAACTTGCATTGTCCGACCTCGCGAGCCCAGTTTTGAAGGGTGGATTTGGGGACAACAATCAGATGGGGACCAAGAGTATCGCGATGATGTTCCAAGTAGGGAAGGAAAGAGATGGTCTGCGATGTTTTACCGAGACCCTGTATAATTTAGTGAGTATCAAAGTGAAACATCAGAAGTTAGGATACCGTTCAACCCGTTGTGGTGCAACGAGACCATCCAATTCAGTCCTTAAAGTTGATGTCTTCATCGTACCGTTAACGTCTAAAAGTGTGGTTTAGCGTGGCTAGTCATGGGACTGGACGACACAGCTCGGTGACTCTTCGATACGCAAGGGATGCAACTTTGGAGAGGACATCTAAGACGTTAGAAGCTTTTTCGAATGAGGAAAATAACAGGCTACCGGTGGCGGGTGCGATCTGTATATTGAGCGAGAGGACCGAGGTGAGGCCTGCCATCTGAGACCCGGATTGAATCTAGAAAGGGTAGTCAGAACAATAAAGTCGGTAGATAAACGAAGCGTACCGCATCATGCATGCTAGCAGTATACTGGACAATATTAATGTCAAAATAAGTATTGCCATACCGATAGCGATCTTATGCGCACGAGGGTGAAAGTGTCAAGATCGACGCAATTGCTTTCAAATGTGTCCATGGCTTCTTCCATAGTCGAGTTATGAGTATGATAATCTAGATGCAACAAAATGACAAGGACGCCTGGTTATTCGGATAAAGGACATTAGGTCCGAAAGCGCGAGCATCAGCTTTATGTAATCATGCCGAATGTGAGTGAGTCCGCGGCAGGGTGCATCGCATCGGCGTCAAATTCCAAATAAAATGCATGTAATGAACGTTTGCACATTATCTCGCTCTATTTCTATCCGATTCTCTTGAATCTTGAAGATTCGGAATAAGCGTAAAAAACTGATCATGTTACAATACGATTCAGATTCAGATCAGCAAGATCTATGTGTGATTGTACAGTATGATATTGATACACAGCAACTCTTGGTACACAACTGTATGTATGTCTATAGGTATGTTATGTGGACATTTTGGTATGATACATGGCTTGCATATTGCATGATTGGGCATGCGGTTACAGTAGTAATGGGGTATGTTGGTGTATGTGGCGTATATCTATCGTATCTGTGAATCTTTGTTCGACAGCTATGTTCTGTATAACACATCGCGGTCATTATCATATATATGACATAAGATCGAACGCGAACTTACTTAGATCTTGAGACCGAGACGTCGTGCCACGTGAGCGCAACCGCTGGCGCACATACGCAGTAATTGTTTGATTCTGTTTTGTAGTGACGTTCGGTGGTTAGACGCCGTCTCGGATCCATGTCAGGGGCAATGTCGGCCAACAGTTGTAAACACCTTACCATGTTGGCAAGGAACTCAAGGTGTGTCTGTCGCGATTGTCGGTTGTTAAATTTATTGGAGATGAAGGAACTTACGCAATCATCGTGTGCAAAGTTGGGTGAGTGAAAAACGCGAGACATCTAGCGTGAATATTCTTTATATATTATAAGATCTGATCGGGATCGAAGACTTACTGTTAAGCTTCCTTATCGGGCTGCACAATGGGTGGGTTTGTAGAGTAGCATAACGTGATATGGATGTGTCAACTAATGATCCAAACAATATTCAACAGTATAGAAAGCAGTACTGTCACAAATCCCTATTGGGCAGTAGGACTTCGGTCACCCTGTATTGGTAATAAACAGTAGTAACCAACGGTACTTATAGTGCTCGACATCACGTCGCACTATCAACCTTTTCACCAACCACACTCCAGGCAAGCACATCCTCACCACGTCTCCTGCTCAACAAAGCATAGACGTTGAAAGCCCTTCATTCACAGGCAAATACTTCCGAGTCATGCCCGTCTTTGGTGATCTCCGAGTCCTAGAAACAGGCTATCTCTGCCACAACTGGCCTGTCCAACAGCTCATCGCTCGTCACCCAGCCTTCATACAACACGTTTGTCATGGTATTCCAGGTCTTCAATATCAACACATAACAAGCGCGTCGCCGTGAGTATGAGACGGATGTGTGGATCAGTGTATTCGACCTAACACTTCCACTTTCTCGCCTCATCAGATCATCGATTTCAACGTACCAGGCCTAACCCCCATGTTCCATCATATACCATATACTGTAGCATATCATCACCAGCTTCAATCCCTCCTTTCACTGGCTCCTTGCAGATCTGTTGAAGCAGATTGAGGTGTTTAGTGTCCGGGGCTTGTTTTTGCGCCTCTTGAACTTCGATGAAGGTATTAATTGATTTCCCTTTGCCAGGTAAAATGAGCTCATCGATATTGCAGCTGGTCTAGTAGCCATGGCCTCGCGGTGCTCGTTATGATCGCCCAGATCAGGGCAGGATTATGGGTCCGCAACGGCTTCCCTATCCGTGGCTAATTTCTGCACTACCGCTATTTTGTGCTGTGTGGGCTCTGCTACGACCAAGACCTGCTCATCCTCCAGTCATCTCTCATCATCCTCGATCCCAATACCATCATTGTCTCTATCCTCAACCGTTTCGGCCTCCTGTCATTTTTCTGCGGTGAAGTCGAGAACCGTCCTTATGAGGGCGTCCATCTTCTGAGCATGGTCGAGGAGCTTCTCTACGTCCTCATGACTATTCTTGGCGAGAGAGCCAGCGCCACCAAGTTCCCGTTCCAACGTGCCATCCGCCACCTCGAGTGCATCCTCAAGGATGTACTATCTCACTTCCACGCACCTGGGTCGACACTCACAACGGCATATTATCCTGCTAATAAATGGCATCCGCTCGCACATCATGAAGTGTGAGAGAGGCGCACTTTGCCCTCTCTAAATTGTCACATAGAAATCCTCAAGCATCTACACAACTCTTGGTTCTCCAGGGTGAGGAAAACGATCCCATCGTTCGTTTGTAGCTGACCGGGATTAGCACGCCAAATCTCTTCGTTCACCCTATCGATCAGGCCTTCACGCGGACTTCGGGACAATCTTTGTAGCGAACCCATATCGGGGTGAACACTCACTAATGAGTACACTTTGTCGTGCTGATTTGATAACACTAAATTATTACTTAGTTTAGCTGGACCTCTATCGCTTGGGTCGTCAGCATTGGATCATCCCTTGTCACGGTCCTTTGGATCGTGGTCTACTCGTTCCTTCCAGTCAACACCTTCTCTAACACAGATGCATTTATAGACGAGGTGGACATTCTCTTCCCCAATGTCACTTTTTGGACGACAATTGTTTACCAATTCCTCACTACGTGGAGAATACTGTCTCACCCAATACCTATTACTTTTCGGCATCCGATCTCCCCCTGCCCTTATCCATACCACCCTCGCTATATCAGTACTATCCATCAGGAGAAACAAGCAGCTAGACACTATTTGTCGCGCCGTCGAGCTTACGCATCCTAAGCCCTGAGCCTCCTGTTCCTAAATTAGCTTACTCACGCCCCTCGCGTGATTGGCCCCGATCCCCTTTGCGTCTGCAGATTCCTCCACACTCTCATTCCTTGGAAACTGGTGAACACCCCCTTGTTCAGCGTCAAGAAGAGGGACACGATGCTGGCGAAGGTCGGTATCGACCAGAAGAATCTTATCAAGGAGATCAGGCACATAGCTCACTGGTGTGGGACGCGCTGCGGGGTTTTCGAGATCTTTTTGGCTTCTGCCGGATGTCGACGTATCATAGGAGAGATGTCGTGAAACTTTTGTGCCCACCCTTGCTTTCATTCTGACCTGTCTACATCTTATTGCAACGCTCTTGTGCATTTTACACGGACTCGTAGTAGTCAGTAATGAGATGGCTATCCCTATCTATTGTCTTACACTTTTTCGATGTCGACTTAAAGACCAGAGGGCAAAGCCCATGAAGATGAGGGCTCGATGCTGATCAACTATGTCACCATCCAGGTCAGCCTGTATTAATTGGGGCGTGATGGGTCAGCGTAAGTAGTGGAGTTGACAATGGCAGTGAAGTGGTCAGCAGCTTCATTGTAATGTGTGCATTGTTGAAGGCTTTGACCCAAGCTGAACGTGCAGATATCTAATGTGCGAGTTGCAAAGATGAAATCACGGTAAAAGAGAGAAAGTAATGCTGACAGAGTTATGGGCAACGATCATGCAATTTATCAAGACGCGAAGATCCTGTATGTCAGGACTGGTTGTTGTTCAGTAAGATGCACCGCTCCCGTTCCTCATTATCGAATTAGTCCGGGACCAAAACTGGCGATCACTAATGGAATCGTGAAGCTTGCCCCGACAATGAAGGCCAACACACATCCGATCTTTGCAGATACGTCTAGCCCAAATTCAATCGTGAAGATACCTGCGAGGAATCCAAGAATAGAAAATGTCAAACTGGAGTAGTCTTGTGAGCAGCAAGTGATCACGATTGAAGGGTTGTTTACCTCATCAGATACATAAAGCTTGGTATGCTCGCAAGGATCACAAGATTGATCATTTTTCCTTGCATGTAGTATACCTATTCAGTCGGGAACATAAGGTCAAGTTGCACAAATGTAAATAAAACGAACCGCAAAGTCCAGGGATCTCATTCTGGAGCTGAACTGTTGTGCTATTGTACATGCGACAATGCAGTAAACACTGAGGATGAATGAGATGGAACACAACACCTTTGTAGCGAGTTGTGAACCCAGACCTGGGATGGCCAGAATGCTGGCATCGACTGCCATGATAATGCTTGCCTGACAGAGACTGAGTATTCTCGTTTGGGTGTACGACATAGCACTTACCACGGTTGTCTGGGCTTTAGCCTGTGCGTTGAAATCGTCCGTGAATTTCTTGATGTCCACCCCACTTACGAGACCATTGACGTAGATACCCTGAAGACGTTTAAGTACCATTATCAGAATCCAGAGCATTGCGACTGAAACACCAGTCATGACACGAGAGTTCTCTAGATTTCCATGTCGCTCGCCTAGTGAGTGCATTCACATCAAGCGAGCTTCGGGTTGGCCGTAGTGATTCAAGTATTCATGATGCCCTTCTTGACTGTTCAGTTTGATCTCGTCTGGTACAGAAAAGGAACATTGTACGGATTATATGGAATAATTTAGCTGTTCATGAGTAACAAGGTCAACCTATTATTAATGACCCATTATTCTAAGGTATACGTACCACAGATTGCGACACCTGGTGCATCTGCGACCCCATCAGGTCCTGCGAGTTCCACTGTCCTTCCGTCATCGACTTGACGATGCAGATTGAGAACAAGGTACGTACCAGCAATGGCCAGCTCAGAGGCCATCTCCTTCATTTGATCCAGATTCCAGAATAGTGAAGCCGCTGTAGATCTTTCCAACACCAATGCTTCTGTTTATCGCTCAGTCAATCTGATCCAGTACCACGATGCCAAATAACTCGCCTACACGATACCAGTTTAATTGAGCCTGTAAAGCTCTTACTTCCTCGCGACTGATTATGATCTCGACTGGAAAATATTCGATATGTTTCCTGGTCAAATAATGAAAAACGTTCGGATCAGTTTGACACGACGTTGCTCACCAGAATTGAGCCTCAAGCTCGAGTCCTGCAAGATCAATTTCAAGAAGGATAACATGAAAAAATAACGTACTTTTGTGGTTCCAATGCCACGCCGCCGTGCATTCCTGGAAAAGAAGATAACCATCTACTGGCTCTAGCCAGGTAATAATGCGTTTCTCCGGTACCACGTAGTAATACAGATATATCTCCTTGCCTCTTACTGACATCTGTTCAACGACTAAAAACCACAAGTTTCCACGTAATTTAGCTCTAGATGCGTTAATCCAAGATTTGAGCCTCTGGAGCTGCTTGTCCGAACAAGTCCGGAGGTTCATTTTGGTGTATGTCCTCTATATTTCTATAGTGAGCGTGCAACTTGCAACTTGCAAATTAAAGATCACGGTGCTCACCATTGTTTTATTATAATAAAATGTAGCTCCCAACGGATGAGTACTCTCTTCCCAATCCCCACGTGTTTCGCGCCTATTGACCCTGCTGTCAAATTGTTGCTGTCAGAAACGGGAAAGACGAACTGGGGAAGGTCGGTTTGCATCTCCTGCACCATATAATCACGACCTAAAGATTTCCTATTGGATTTAGTGAGTTCTTGTTGTTCATCCTAGTAACATGCACGCTCACGGTAGTGCCGTTTCGGTGTATCGCCGAAGCTGTGTTGGCCAGATAGGGACGCTGCACTTCAGCAGCTCCTGGTGGTCGAATGTTAGGGTCTTGTATGAGAGCATGCTGAGTACACGGGTTCGTCTCGACTTGTTTTTCGACGTACCGTCAGAGCCATAGTGAGACTTGCTAGGCGATTTTGTTCTCACGCTGATCGTTGATGCGATTTGATGACATCAAGACAGGATATAATTAGCGAACACCTCCCAGGCCGTACTAAATCCAGCCTGCCTGACGAACATCACTAGCTGGTCCTGATTGAATACATCTTGTAGACAAACACTTACCCATGCTAGACAGGCACCAGGCTCAAAGACGGTCAGAATTGGAACTTTCAGAAGCCCTGGAGCGCCTTGTAATCCTTAGCACTTGTATCCAGGCTATCACATTGTAATAATTAAATCGAATGAATTTCATGATTATACAAGATAAAGAAACAAACACGAACAAACCGATTGAGTTCATGAGTTCGACTAGGCTAGTAGTCTCTGAGAGCGGGATCGAGGAACTAAAATGACGGTTTGTAAATGACTGAAATGAAAATTGTTTCATGAGTGATACGAGCTGCCACATTGAGATTTTGTTCATGAAGAACTCGAGACACTCGATAGAGGATGGGGCGATCAAATTCGGTGGGTGGCACCTCGAAGGGTGGTAATGGGGTGCATGGTCCAAGAAGACTTGAAGAGAGAGCTTGAGTATATGAATCTGAACTCTACAAAGTCGTTATGATGTCCCCAGAAGCAAGGTAAAAGCACTCACTCACTCACGCTTCTCCATGCGCTAGAGCCAACCAGACTTCCATCGCACTGGTGTCGACTTTCTCTTACCCCAAAGCATACCAAATCATGCTCTCCTCTACTTCGCATGCACCACCTCCGTCTTCTGTAATCTGAGGAAGCTCATTATGGTACTTGTTCGTGGCTGCGCGAAGAGAAAGGAGAACTCGATAAAGATAAAGGCGTGAATAGGATGTGACTGGTCCTCTGCGAGATCCGGAGTTCCTTGGATGCGATAAAAAGATGGAATAAAGAGAGAGAACGGCTTGATTGAATATGATTTTATTAGAAAATATATAGAGCGGTTAGAGCAGGACATACACAAGGAAGCCATAGGAAATGAAGGTAAGTGCGCTGGACAAACAGGGCTGGGTCCACTGGATCATAATCTTAAACGGTTAGTATCTGCTCAGACTCTTTTCTTGAACTGGGATCTATTTGAGTGAGGCTGGCGTATGCAAAAGAAAAGCTTGCTGAAGTGACATCGGCGATCAGATGCAAGTCAATGAAATCGTACGATAGATTGACATTAGTGAGATGAGGGAACCTGGCGAGAGCTGAAAATACAATATAGTCCATATTCAGGTATCTGTAGCACAATGAATACTAGAACGACATCATAAAGAAAGGTACGCACTTTTCACCCTTTTGAAGATCGCCCACACCATTGGGCAATTTCATATCATGTCGGGCACAATCAATTGTCCTGACACCGGTTGCAGCCAGACCCTTCGAAGCCTTGGTATCAGCCATGTTGACGGCGTTGTGACTAATGCAAGTGCTTTTCTGTCAGAACGAGGAGTTTGTCAATCATAATGATAAAACATTGAGTGCAAAATCTTACCTCTTGAACAGTGCCTGAGTTCTCAGCCAAGTAAGTCTTGTACTGGTGTTCTTCAACAAAATAACCCCAACCATGTGTGAGCCCTGGATCTTTGGCATCGGAGGAGACAAGCCGGCGCTTGAGACGGAAATTGGTGTCAATTGCAAAGAAACCTGCGTAGAGCCATCTAAAAGCTGTTAGATATGTTCGTAGCACATCAAATCAAACAGTCACTGCCGATCTGAAGTTTCCCAATTTGGGGGCAAGTTTATGCCTGGGTGGGGACACGCAGGACATAAAACAGCGAGTTCTCCCTCTTGAGTAGCGTCCACACCAGCAGGGTCGTGCCCACGGCCAGCACACTTGAGTGCATTGAGGTTCCTCCATTCACGCATGATTCTTAGAAAGACAGAATATTGATCCTGAAAAACATATATCAGTGTACTTGTTTATAAAAGCAATGTAAATGTAACATACTCGAATTGGCCGTATGCCAGTATTATCCGTCCTCCGTGCAAGGCTGTGATAGAATTCATACGCAGAGACCTTAGACTCAAAAGATAACAAGTGGAAGAGATCCAGCACGCTAAATGTCGCAGCCGTTCGAGGATCCGTAACCGTTGCAGGAAAAAGCCGGGCACAAAGGAGCTGCTTGAAATGCGGGGCTTCATGCTTGCAGTTACAGAAGTCAAGGCTGACTTCATGTATACTGTGAACGTCGATGATAATGAAATCATTGTCATAGGCGGGGCGTGGGCGACGACAAGATTCCCCTGGCTTGTGACCTAGCTGAATGCGGAAACCGAGATGTTTGAGCGATGTGGTGTGAAAAAAACTATCTTTCCACTCCTAAACAGTGGTGGATGATAAGAGAACTAGCAAAGAGCAATAGATAGCTTACGAACCTTGATTCTATGGAGTGGTGCACTGGCATGCAACGACAAAACACACTCATGGCAAAATAGCTCCGTTGAAAAGCAATCTTGACATCTGAAAGAGGGCGAAGGTTTCCTGCAAGAACATGCTTCATGGTCATTTTTTCCCTGACCCTCCAGGTATAGAAGCTCGTTCAAGTAAGTTTCACGTTCATTTAGCCAAAGGAGGATTGGGTCATCCTGCAAATTTATGGTTAAAATAAGTGCTACTGATTAAACTAAAGGACAAACTCCTGGTGTCTGTCGGCGTGTTCATGGCCTCGGTTCGTCACCTGGCTGAAGGTCTTCTGGAGAAAATATAGCACTGTGCTCCATCTCATTCCATGGGTCAATCTCAGTGGATACATGAGATGGTGCTTCTGCAGGTTCTATGGCAGGTGCTGGAGCAGGAAGATAAGACATTCGGAGGCTGAATCCACCATTGGATCTTAGGGCAAAGCTGAGATGGCGCGTATGAAGCTCAGCGGAGGCACTATGACCTCCGTGTTGAATAAGCTTTGGACGCTTGGAAGGGCGGCCTCTGAGATTAGACATGTCTAAGAGGCTGCATCAAGGCCCAGTGGTCAACATGCAATGAGTGACTCACCATATGCGAGAATCCATCGACTCCGAGGATATATCCTAGGTGCCCTGGGCACTACATTTCCGAACTTGTCACACTGGACACGGTTAATGTCTGTACATGTAATTAGCGTAGTGCTCATGCACATTGAGTCATACAAATACTGGCACTTACCCATGTATGTCTGATTCTATGCTATTTCAAGGGGAGGAAACATCAATAAGCAGCAAAAAAGGACACCGCACCAGAAAGAACCGCAATGTGCAATGAGTAAGGGCTTCTAGCACCAGAAAGAACTGCAATGCATGATGAGTATCATCATATGTACAAAGTCATTACCAAATCGAAGATGTTCCCACAGTTCCAGATTCACCAGTGCTGTCCTACGTACACCTTGTCCTTGCCTAACGGGTCGAGTTCCATGGCTCATCACAGCCAAACGACATTCTCTTTCATATTCCCTCGACCCATCTGCCTTTGATTCTTGAACTGTTTTTCCATTTCTTCAACTCTGGCTACATCTTCGACCACGCTACCTCCATGTACTGAACCATCGACCGACTACTTAACGAGACATTGCCAACCAACCAATTAACCCAACTCTACTGTCGCAATGACTCAATCAACTGTCCCTCAAGCTGACACCTCTCCCTCCACCCCGCCCTTTGTAGTTTCTGATAATATGTCAGACGGTGTCATAGGTACGCCTATTGGTGCTTGCATGGCTTCGTACTATACTCACATTGGTACCAAAAGATGCCATATCCAAATTACTTGCTAGTCTATGGTTGACGCCTGGTCAGGCAAAGGCCCTTGTCAATGTTATTATGACTCCAACTTTTGCTGGTATGTACGAATTTCCTTAGCTTCTTTACCAATTGTTTCGCATGCTGATTGATTCTCAGATGTGTCTTCTAATATGAAGGGTCCCAGTGAAACATCCTTGAAGACGACTTCTATTATGGCTCCAACTGCTGATGGTACGTACAAATTTCCTTAGCTTCTTTACTGATTGATTCACATGCTGATTGATTCTCAGATGCGTCTTCCAATATGAAGGGTCCTGGTGAACCATCCTTGAAGACAACTGCCTCGTCCAATGGTGGCCTCAATTTGTCCGGTATCCCTGCTGAAGACTATGTGGCCGACCCAAATACGTTGTCTGTCTATGTGACCCTTGGCTCTTACAGTGACAAGTTGCCAAAAATTACCGTAATCGAGCAATCACACGAGTTCTTCGCCAAAGTAGCAGATGCCATGGCTGACGAGTGCTTCCTCTACTTCTACCACGGCATCTTGTATAACATGCCTGCGGCGGCCAATCCTAGTGCCCCTTACTACTGCGTGATGCGCGGTCGTTATATTGGAGTCTTCAATGGCTGGTAAGTTGTCCAAGCCGCCCGCAAGCCTCATTAAAACTTTCCCAGGGACAATGTCGCACCAAAAGTTCAGGGTGTACCACGCACTATTTTCTCCAAGGTTGACTCACTTGAAGCGGGTGAGGAGAATTTGAGGAGAGCCATTGAATGAGGCGAAGCTGCCAAAGTCTGATTTGGTTGCTTCACTGTTATATAGTTGTAACTGTTGTGAATAGTCGCCTTTTTGTTGCTTTGTATATCGTGTAATCAAGTCACTCCTGCACACATTCACGCATGAACTTCATGGACCAATAATTTTGAGATTGAGCTGAACAAATATTGATGAATCTGATGAGGTCACAGTTTATGTATTGATGTGATTGAAACCCGGCGCCGCTGCTGATTTGAAGCGACATCAACAAGGTTGACAAGTGAGCTCATGGTGATACATATACAGCCTTGCATATTTAGTGGGTGATGCTTACGCTGAAATTACTAGATCTGAGGTCCTGAAGCCTGAATATGCAGCTAGGCTTACTGTGATTTATCTATACCAGCACTGGTTAATCGCGTTGAATTGGTCCTATAAAAGTCCCACACACAATGAATTACAACTCCTCACGGAACTCTACTCAATTTCTACCCCACAATTTCATCACTGTTTTCAATGCCCTGACCCAAGCTCTACAATACTCCGGAAGAACGTCAAGAGGCCAAACGAATGCACAAACATGCTTACTATGCACAGTATGTGCTTGATTCTTACATTGATCTCTTATGCTAACATAGTTACTCATTGCATGCGCTGGCAGTAATAAGTCCACGATTAGTGCTAAGATGAAAGATAAATATCTGGCTCGGGTAGACAGGGACAACACAAATCCCCACAAGACTTCATCCAATATCATGTAAGTTGCATTCATGTCGTGTCTCAAATGGAATGCCTTTACTCAGCTCGGGTCGACAGGGACAAGACTTCATCAGATGCGCCGAAATCACTCAGGAAAAAATTGCAAGGTCCCTTGCGAAAATATCTCGGAGGCGAGCCTCAAGAGGTTATCAACGAGCTCTTGCTCGATTACCTGGCAACTGGTGTGTCCGACAGGATTCGTTCGGCTATTGGAGTTGTCCAAGACATATTCAGCGAGCTACAGGATGCTGAAGATGACTTATCACAGCAGGGGAAGAGTGGTATAGGGTACACTAGTGCTTGTCAAGCCACGAAGGATGCTAAGGATGTGCTGTTGGCATTGGAAGATGTCTTATCCTTTATTTTGGTGAATGGCATAAAATTGGAGGAGTTGTATGCTAAGCAGGCCTTTTTATTTCAAATGCTTTGGTAGTAGCTACTTCTCTCGATTCTTAAGGGGTTTATGTATTATCGAGGCGACTGGTGGGCGCAGGGGATGATAGCTTCGAGTTGGTTTATCAAGACAACCGGTGGGCGATCTAGGATATTCATACACGCTTAGGTTTATGTGACCCCTTATGCCTGATGCAGTCTTTCAACCGCCCCAAACTGTACTATATATAGTACAGCCTAAATCACACACTTAGGTACGTGCCTGATGCCAACCGCCCCAAACTGTACTATGCAGTACAGCCTAAACCGTCCATGAAAAAGAAGGTGGTTCAAACCATTGCTGGTTTCATGGCGTATTTGCCAAACATTACCATGTTAGTATGGTGGGCGCAGGTACATAGATGATAGCTAGGTTTACGTGACCCCTTATGCCTGATGCAGTCTTTCAACCGCCCCAAACTGTAATATAGTACAACCTAAACTGTCTACGAAAAAGAAGGTGGTTCAAGCCATTGCTGGTTTCATCATGCTACCCATACTGACATTGTGTACGGCTTCTCGAAGGTGAGGAACTTGCTGAGCAACTGCGAAATTACTATGGCTTATCTGCCAAACATTACCATGCCAGTATCTTGGCCCATGCGTGGGATATTATTATATATGTACAGCCATCTTGTAAATTTTCATCTCGCTTTACTTATCAGCTCATTATACGTGTCATATCGTAAGTGTCAGGTTTTGCTATTGATAAAAAAGTCTAATACAAATTTAGATGGCCCCTCCCAAATGGACGTCTGATGAACAAGAGGAATGGCTCAAACCATACTATGAAGCGTTCCTCGTGAAGCAAAGTGAAAAGTGTGGTAATTATAGGAACTTTTTTGCAGACCTTTATGAAAACTGGTTTGAGGCCTTTCCCGAGCCAAGGCCGACTGGGGTCACAGCATTAGGGCCTATGACGTTGGAGGAGCTTAATGAAATGAAATTAGCGGAAGACGCCCGAAAAGTGGTAAGTTTGTCCCAGACCTTTTTGGAGTCCGGCTGATGTGTTCTTCCAGAAATTGCACAATCGGTTCAAAAATAACTTTGGGGCGACAAAGGCTGGCAGAAAGGCAAAAGCCCATGCCACCAACATTATCAATGCTGTGGTTCGGAAGATTACTGAGTGTGAAAAACTAACTCGTAGGCTTCAGGAACAAGGGGCTTACTCTAAGCTCTACTACTGTGATTGCATCAAGCCTATCGTACAAGAAAAGCTCGCAGCAGTCAAGGAGGAACGGAAATTAACCAATGGAGAATGGGTCGCACTCGTCAAGAAGGAAACTGCTGCACTATACGTCAACGAGACGCCCGAAGTCAAAGCGCGAGTGAAGGAATACCTTGAGGAACAGAAGCAGCAAAAAGTGCAGGACAAAGAGGAAGGGCCGTGGAGTAAGTCGGAGGCTAATCAATCACAGTGAGTCATTCACATTGTATTGATTAATGCACTCACTGACATCATATAGAAATTTGGACAAACTGGCTGCTGTCACCAACAAGTTTTTAAAGGGTCTGGCAGATGCGACCAGGATGTCCTTCTCACTTCTCGCTGGCGGTCCATCCCCCGAGGCACAAGGCCAGATTGACGTGTACAGCTCAGTGGGCATTTCATGTGTATAATTCGCTGTACTGACCTTGCGAAGTTTTCACGTTGGCTTAATGAAACACAACAACAACTTCAGTATGGCATATCCGGGGTTTGAGCGTGGTGTCATGGGGCCTTTCCGTGATTTCTTGTGTCGCGTATATGGTAAGCCTGCAAACCTGGGACATTGTGACGTCGAACTAACCTGCAAACTCAACAGACAAGGATCCTGGCCTTTTAATGTCTGCTCAGGAGTCGCAAGATATATCGGACGGACCAGTATCCATTCGGGATGTATCGCCCATCATGGCTGCATCACCAACATCCAGCAAAATATATCTGATGACTGGACAGTCATCCCCATGGGATGTATCAGCAGGTGCTTCCTTACCATTTGAACCTTCATCATCTCCGTCTATGGAGACAAGTTTGGACTTCTACTCTAGTGGCTCCGCTACCTTTGGAGGTGAGACACCATACTGGGCTACTCCAGAGTTTGATTCTGTTCTTGGCGCAATGCTGCAGACTCAGTCCAAGTCTCATGGACAGCAGGAACCTTCTGTTATGCTTCCCTTCGCCCCTTTTGACAGTTGGGACACCACTTCTTTTCCGTCGACACCTGGTATGGCACCCGATGACCTACTCGCTGACGCTTCTCCCCGCACAACCTCCACTACACTTCCCGATGGGGTCCTGCCTCCAATTTCGCCTGCTGCGCTTGTTACCCAAGCAGGACCCACTTCTCCCATGTCCACTGCACCTGCCTTTGCACCTGTCCTGCTTCCCACTTCTCCAGCTGCGCTTGTTACCCAAGCGGGTTCTACTGTTCCCATTTCAACAGCACCTGCTGTCGCACCTGTCCTGCCTCCCACATCTCCTGTGGCACTTGTTACCCAAGCAGGATCTACTTCTCCCATTTCCACTGAACCTGCCATCGCACCTGTCCTGCCTCCCACTTCTCCCACAGCGCTTGTTACGGGATCTACTTCTGCCGCTCCTACTATTCCTACTACACCTGCTGTTGTATCTTCAGAGACGGCCCCAGACCCTACTATACAACCATCTGTCATGCCTGCTGTCACAACTACATTGGTCAAGGTTGATTCTAACACTGCAGAAGAACAGAACCACGAGGATGGGCGTCATAGGACCAGTCGCAAGTCTAAACCGTCAACACGTAATGACGTCGCCAACTCGATTGGTCACCTAGGAAAGGAGAACGTGCCTCCTAAGCCATCCGCGAAGTGTCGTATGGCCGAGGATGCATCAAGCCACAGCGCAAAATCCAAGTGAGTGCTCAATGATATATCCTCTTTGGTTTGTTAACCAGTGAGCAGGAAGGCGAAGGTGTGATCTACTATTCCCGAGTCTCTTCTTTGTTGCACGCTGTCACATTTGTCCGTTGGTCCCTGCTGTTATTATATCGTTTCTTGTGTTTGTCTTGCGTACTGATCTACTCAGCTCATTGTCATAGTCCGAACACTATCTTGTTTGTTATCACCCTTGCTATATTTCATACTAATTTGTTGATGTTTTTATCTTGTTAATTTTAATACATATTGTTAGTACGAGACATATCTAAAATGTTGGTGGCCCTAAGTAATAAAATCTATCTTGCATGTAATCATGTGCTAGATGTGAAATAAATGTGCCAAAAAAAAACAATGTTACAAGGAGAAAAGCAGAAACATGACTGGTTGCCTCCCATGCTTGCCAGTGTTAGTCCGTACTGCGGTAGGTGATGTTTGTGAATCAGAGATCCGTGAATAAGAGTCGAGATATTCATCAGGTACTATATCTTCATGAGACTGAAAACATAAGAGTTGAAAATGTGATGGGAGGTGGTCAAAGCTCACGTTTGCATATCTTAACGTCCCAGAGTTGAGGTGTTCCCTAAGAGAGGGCGGGGCAGGGAAAATGTGGGAGAGAGCTGCAATGCGATCATCTGAAAACATATGAGTCGAAAATGCGATGGGAGGTGGTCAAAGCTCATGTTTGCATATCTTAACGTCCCAGAGTTGAGGTGTTCCCTAAGAGAGGGCAGGGCAGGGAAAATGTGGGAGAGAGCTGCAATGTGATCATTGAATAAAATGCGAAAGAAACAAGAAAAAGACATACATCTAAATGTTGTGCTGCGTTCGTGCGATGAGAGAACTGCAATGCGATCATTGAATAAAATGTGAAAGAAACAAGAAAGAGACATACATCTAAACGTTGTGCTGTGTTCGTGCGATGAGAGAACTGCAAGGTGATCATTGAATAAAATGCAAAAGAAACAAGAAAGAGAGACATACATCTAGATGATCACAATGTTTGATAGTTCCTTGTGCTGCGTCCGTGCAATGAGAGAATCGAAGAGATTGGCTCAGTAAACAAACATGAAATCACGTGATAAGGAGACTTGGCAAATTCACAACAAGTTCAAGCACTTCAGGGCACCGGTAAGGGATGCAGGCACCTTCTCAGAAATCCTATCTAAGATCTGTCTACAGTGCCCGCTATACGATCATAAGAAGCCACCGTTGGCCGGTGCAAGAAGCACCAATTCAGAGGAAGCAAGGGCCAGCCGGAAAAAAGGGGGGATATTGTCCATTTGAGGCATTCAACCCCCCAGCACGAGGATTTATAAGCCCGGAATGGTAGGATACATCCTCCATGGGCAGTGGACCATAAGACAAGAAGATGTATGAGTATTTATGGGTAATAGTCCATATAAGATGTATTAATCTAACAGTATAGCCTGGAATGAAAGATCATAGCACTCACCTGAAACATTGTCTTGGCTTTATTTGCGACACGGAGAATGATGTTTTTCATTGACACATAACGGGCCGGCGGGGGAGGCAGGGGAGGTGCGACCGATTGGTCGGTGCGCTGGATAATTTAGGTAAAGTGCCGGCAGCTGTGCCCAACGGAATGAACTTACTGAATCTAACCATATATCCACCTGTGTCTGGTAAACAATGCTTATTATACACGTGCCGCTGCACATGAATGTTGTGACTTACCAAGACTTTTCTACCTTTCATGGGTAATGGCCCCATCGTAGCCGAGTGTGTTATGTGTGACATCTTATGCACTATGATGTAGGAGTATTGACGCGGTTTGACGAGCAGATACGTAAAATGACCCGAAGTAGAATAATTGAGACCCAAAGTAGAACCAATGATCGATTGTACCGAGACAGCAAATAATAATAAACAACTGAAATTAGCTCGGCTATTTCCGAAATATGCACCCACCGTTACTCTGATTCACAATGGCCCTCCGGGCATCCCTGTACCCTCCATCTTTACCGCTTCCTTTTTCATAAGTGATATGCCTAGTTGTGAATGGGTTGATATACAAAAAAAAACCCTCGGTACTTTCGACTCCATTTGGGTTTTAGCAGCGATCACCGACTTGATGCGCATCGTGTGAAGTCATCTTTTGACTCGAAAGCTTGAGGAGTTCAGTACACACGATCATGGGCAAAAATAATGCTCCGTCTTCCTGTGTGAACAGACCAAGACGTGGTGGACGTGCACAACGACATAAGAGCACGAGAACTTCTCAGCGATCCCAGTCATTCTCTAGCTTCCCTGAGGACTCCGCCAAGCCTTCAAGCATTATCGAAGATGACAGCTCAAATCATTCCTGAGGTGAAGATGATGAATGTGAGTGATTTAACAAGGTAGTTGAACGATCACTCATGAGCGCACAGCCGGGCGACTGCACATCGATGTCCTTGTTGCGATGTTCGTGCGTTAACGTGGCATTTGCTCTGAGCCAATTTTTCTAATACAAACAATCAAGGACTTCGACCATTGTGATCCACGCCGATGTTCTGGGAAGAAATTCGCCCGCCTCGGTCTTATAACGGAGCTGAGGCTGGGATCCAAATATTGAGGCGTGGTCGTATTGTGCGTCTACCTGTTCCAAACATCCGTTTACACTAACATCAATATTTTCCGCCAGTCCAAAAGGGACCCTCGTCGTGAGTCCAGCAGACAAAGAGATCGTTGTGCGAGATGGTATTGCCGTTGTTGAATGTTCCTGGGCCCGCATAGACGACGTCCCATTCTCCAAAATTGCCAGCCCACACAAACGACTTCGTAGGTCCATTCTTATCTTACACGTCTCTTTGGTTGATGATGGGTTATTGGTAGTTCCCTACTTGTTTGCTACCAATTCCACCAATTACGCGAAGCCTTGGCGGCTGAACTGCATCGAGGCACTTGCAGCAACTTTCTACATTACAGGGTTCGATCAGCATGCGGAGACCTTGCTCAGTTCGTTTGGGTGGGGCGATTCCTTCCGGAAAGTCTTATTGATTTTCTACTACCGTTTTAATTCCCTCGTACAACCTCTATTCTTTTGACCTGCTCTACGCAAGCGGCAATATTTTGTCATCACGCTTACGTCCTATACCGTAATTTTTCGTCCTGGGGCGAAAAATGCCGTACTTGGGAATGCGCGCCGTGGTTCACTTCTTTTTTAACACTTTTGCCGTGTTCATCGCATGCGAATCAGGCCCAGGCTGCGCGCTGAGTGGATCGGGTGCTTAGCAAAAGTATATAAGAGGTCAGTATGTGACGAGTCCTTTTCTTGCTCTGTCATCCCTTCCTAGCTTCTCAGGCCTGAAAAGGCGTGCTGACCGTGCGCGGTTTGCTTTCTATAGACCTGACTGTGGTCTTGCAAGCCCCACAGTCGCGACGGAGGGATGACCTCGAGTATATTTTTTGGCGTCTGTCTCGGATGGCTTCGTCTGTGTATAACCACCTGTGCTGAGTTACAGGATGTGTTCTGGATTGATCGGTCGATCTGGTTGACTTATGCATGTCTCAGTCTGTGGTCTTGATTCTTTTGAGCATGGTGGCCAGTGAGGTGCGCCCACATTGTCTTTCTGCCTTTTGTTGTTACACGAGCGCATTGCACGTTTGTTTCTGATATTCTTTACTTACTCTTACTGTTTGAGTCACATCTTCAACACGGCGGAGTGACCCTTGATGCTTCATTTTACTTCTGTTTCGTGCTTTCGCTGTTGATGGCATGGAGGGTCCACGGCGCACTGCCCATTTTTTGCCAAAGGCTTGATGTTACTTTTCGAAGGCAGGTCTTCAACACGACCGACTACTCTTTACCTGTCCAACTTCTGTTTCTTCTGTTGTTCATTGACGATTGCGCTTTGATATGTTATATGGATCAGAATGTTCATTGTGATTGCGATTTGCAACCTCCATGGCGTGGCGTAAGGCTGTGTGAACGTGAATGTAAAAATACTGAAGTGTCGAGGACTGGCGCGGCCGAGCACTGTTACGATACATACTTCAGCACACTAGTTCTTCATTCATTCCTCCAAAGCTGTTCGCTGCCGAGCCTGTTACGGTCCAATCATATTGTGTGCAGCCTTGGTCTGTCTTACTGTTATCCTGCTCACCTCATTGTCATCCTGTTTACACTAGTTCAGTCACTACAGTTGTTCAAGTCCTCCATTAACCTCGTGTCTAGAGGTTGGTAGTACAAATACAAGTGAATAGTTAATGGAAGCGGCCAGTTCGTTTCATCTTTCCTTCTCATTTCCTTGTGCTCATTCATCATGGTCATTTGTCCACTTCTCTCTAGGCTGCGACCAGGATGTGATTCAGCGACCTCCTGTTACTCTCTGTCATGCATCCGTGACCTCCAAGGGACCACACTATGATTGGCATGTCCCAGCAATCCATCATTGTCGTTCTGACGGCCGTGCCGTTGTTGATATTCCAGTGGAACATACGCTCATCTACAGTCGTCCGCGTAGCATGTGGGCAATTGATACTCCTGCTGCAGTTGTGCACTCCCAACTGGAAAGGTTCTGCGCATAATCTGAATCCCTGCTTTGTGTATTTCATCAGAGCTTCGACAGTCCGTAGGTTTGTCTTGTCTTCCATGTAGAGTTGTGGATTTATGAATCCTTTTCTGTTGCAAGTCCATTTGGGATACATGCAGACAATATCGTCCGCTGTGATGTAGTTCATGACGATGGTGGAATGGAATTGCAGGACTGGCGCTATTACGCACTTCCAGTGAGTTACGATGATATCTATCTTCTTTTCTCCATTCTCCAGTTTGTAAATCCTGGCTATTGCACTGCCGTCGTATTTTGGCTTCGGGCTAATTTTATCTGCGACTGTATATCCTTCTTGGTTCTTCAAATATTCCACCACTACAAGCTCATATTGTTCTGTGGTGTAGACATCGATGTTGTGTGCCACAACTTGCTGCGATTGTGGCATGATAAGATTTAATGCATTGGATCCTGATATTATAGATTCTGTGAATTTCAAGAGTTGGATGAACAAGGGGATGTCGTCCACAAATGTCTTGAATATGTTATCGCGCCTTCTGACCATATAATTTGCGACATCTATCTGGTTTCCAGTTCTGGTTTCGGAGAAGCGTGCAAGGTCTGGTAGAGGTAGGATGTCGAATATCATTATCTCAATTTCAGGGCTAAGCCGGTCAAAGAAGCCATTCAAAAGTTTGGTGTTGTCCATGGTTTTGTGACGTGTAAGATCAGTGCAACCTTGCGCCATAGTCACTGCCCTTCGTATATTTCTTATACTCCTATTCTATGGTGTTGTCATATATTTATATTGGTCATGATGAATCATAACATGTGACTTGTTTGTACGTGCAAGGGGTTGACACGTCCAGCACGTGAGTTTTTCTATTCATCAACTGTTTGATGGACATTGTGTCTACTATCAACTGACATTTAGAAATGCAGGTTGCATATCACCGTATTCTTAAGGTGTGGAACTTTGCAAAAGCATCTGAAGGCTGGGATGGTGTCTTCGAAAAGCTCTTGAAGGGATTTGAAGACAATGCTGCCCAAGTGTGTGCTTGTTCTTGCATGTACGTCGTACTTGCTCTCACTAAGCCTGCAGGAATGGAGGTCTCGCCTGAATCCAGTCCTTTTTTCAATGACCTCAGTATGGGTGAGTCTTCTATTTAATACATTGTGAATATATACATGAACAGCCTTCAGTTCCCTCCGAATCGTCCATTGCATCACAGGATGAGCAACAGATACCTCGGAATGTGTTAAGGTCGTACTCTCGTAAGATCGGATCCGAAGGACTTCGGCCTCAGCTCGTACGCTGTGCCCCTTTCCCAAGTACTGTCCCTTATTTCAAAGTACTAACGATAACGCGTCCGAAGGTCCGGACGGGTCTCGTAGTATATCCGGAAGTCTTCCGGATATCGGAAACGCGTATAAGGCTAATCCGGACGTATCCGAACTAGAAACTAACAGAGTAAAGACTACCCGAAGGCAGAGCCGAGGATATAGACTATCGGAATCTATCCGAAGTCTCGGAGAGTGACAAGAGTAAGGAGAACTCAAGTCCGGAGGACAGAAAGAGGACAAACTAAGATGATATTCGAACTGAGGTACTACAGGACATATACACGAGTTTATATACTATGAGGATAACGGAAGTATCAGTAAGCAAGGGTCCGAGGCTATGTACGAAGCATGTGCAAAGGTTATCAAACGCGAGTCGGAAATGAGACATAGGTTAACGGATCAGTAATCATACCGGTAATAAGCATAACCGAAACACCGGGAAGAGGAAATACCGAATAGGCTGTGTTTAACGTTATATGAAACAGGAAATGAATTAGAAAGCTTATCGTAAATCGGATCGGAAGCGGATCTATACATCGGACCGGACCGGATCTCAGGGTCCGAAGTCCGGAAGAGAAGCGTGAATATATGGGATATGACAGTATCCCCCCCTTAGGGCCGATCCCTAGAGGCACAAGAACCATCGGTCCGGACCGGACGAGATTATCGCGAGATGATGGAGAAGCGTCTGAGTTCGGAATCGGACAGGTATACTCAAGGGCGGACGTCCCAGGATGATTCTTCCTTTCCCACTTTTTACTCTCTATAACGCTCTATCGAAAATGTCTGGCAACACCTCCGGATCTCAGAAGACTGCTAAGCAGAAACTGCTGGAGCTTCAACAGCAACTAGCGGACGCTGAAGCTGCGGCTCGGAAGGAGGAGGAGGAGATTCGGAAGCGTCAGGAGGCGGAGCGGAAGCGTGAAGAGGAACGGAAGATTCAGGAGGATCTTAAGAGGATTCGAGAGTCCGAAATTCGGGTGGAGGCAGAAAACAAACGGCGCAGGGAGATAGTAGAGGAAATGGTGAGTTTCGGATGGTTATGATGGCTTTGCCTGACGGATGAAAAGTCTCGTGCCATTTCCGCTGACAAGGACGGATCCTGCAAGCGTTGCAGCGACAGAGGCCGGACTTGCCTTTGGACGGATGCGGAGAGCAATGCTCTGGTGAGTTAATCCGTGTTTTTTTTCGGATCCGAGTGTTTTGACGTCCGGATAGGTCAAGTCTTGCGATATCTGCCGGAAGGACAAGGCTACGTGCCCCGGACGACCCGGAACTGTCAAGGTGCCCAAGGGCAAGAAGAGGAAGCATGCTGCCGGATCTCCATCTCCGAAAGGTAAAGGTAAGAAACGTCAGAAGAGTCCGACTCCTGAAGATCCGGAGGAGATGGAGACGGAATACGATGATCAGGCTTGGGTGGCCGCAGCCAACAGTATAGTGGCGGAGCTGGCTAGGACTAACACCCTTTTGGAGAGAAGTATTCAGGCGGCGGAAGGCAGCAGGGCTGCAGCGGACCGGATGAGCTCCGGAATTGAGCTGTTCCTTCAGCAACAGAGGGAATTTCAAGCCATGTTGTTCGGACATATTCGGAAGGGATTTCGGACGTCTCCGGGTCCGGAGGAGGAAGATGAGGTGATGGAAAGGGCGTCCGGAAGTGATGCAGGCGGATCCGGAGAGGCGGATGGGTCTATGGAGATGTAGGAATTTCTGGTCCGTTTATGCTTCTTCTCTAAATGTACTTGTATTTCGTATGCACACTATGTACTTCAAAGTTGAATAGGACCGGGTTTGTTCGGATATGCAGCGTGGAAGTCCGAAACTAGTTCGGATGCGTTACCGAGCTCCGTAGCAAGTAACCATGAAGTCTCCTCGTCCGTTCCTTCATATCCGGACCATCGGACGAGGTATAGGAGTTGACATTGTCTTCTCCGACGGTCTAATTTTGAGTCCAAAACTTCGGATATCTCATATTCGGGTTCTCCGTCGACTTCGACCGGAGGCGGAGGCGATTGGATACGATTAGGAATGGTATTGAGTGTGGCTGGTTCTAATTGCGAGACATGGAAAACTGGGTGTACGGAGCGCATGGAATCCGGAAGTCGGATGGTGAAAGAATGCGTACCCGGACGAGCTATGATTTCGAACGGACCTAAGTTCTTTTCCGAGAGTTTCTTGGACGGACGGGTGGATCGGAAGTATTTTGCTTTGACGAAGACCGGATCTCCGATTTTCATATCCGGAGCAGGTTTCCGTTTGGCGTCCGCAGGTCCTTGATATCTTTCTTGTGCGTGGGCCATTTCTTCTCGGAGGAACTGATGGAGTTCGTCAAGGTCTACTGCATAGTCTCGTGCGCGGGCGGATGAGAGGTCACGTTCCGGATGAACGGATAGGTTCGGATGATATCCCTTATTGGCGAAGAAGGGTGATACTCCGGTAGTAGCACTCGGAGCGTTGTTATAAGCGAATTCTGCCAAGGGAAGTAGTTCCGACCAGTTATCCTGCTGATAGTTGCAGTATATCCGGAGGTATTGTTCAAGGGTTTGGTTCGCTCGTTCGGTTTGTCCGTCTCCTTCCGGATGATATCCGGACGTGAAGTGGAGGACCATATCTAATGCTTTTCCTAAGGACCGGAAGAAATGCGATACGAATTCTGTTCCTCGGTCCGAAGTGACATGGGATGGAACTCCGTGCTTGGAAAACACGTGGAGGACGAATAGACGAGCGAGATCCGGAGAGGTAATGGTGTCGTGGGTAGGGATGAATATAGCTTGTTTGGATAGACGGTCGATTACGACGAGGATGGCTGTAAAGCCGGATGAGTCCGGAAGGTGCTCGATGAAATCCATGGATATAGAATTCCAAGGCTTTTCCGGTATGGGTAACTGCTTGAGCAATCCGTAAGGTTTGTGTCTCGGAACCTTAGCTCGGCCGCAGGAAGTACAAGACTTGACGTAGTCTTTGACATAGGTACGGATTCCTGGCCAAGTGTACTCGCGTCGGATGATATCTAGCGTCCGGTTCTGTCCGAAGTGTCCGGACAACGGATGATCATGAGTATTCTGGAGGACGCGAAGACGGAGATTATTAGATTCCGGAACATATATACAGTTGTCGCAGCGGAGGAAACCACTATCGTCCACCGTCCATCTCGGATCCGAAGGTTCCGGAAGATGTTCGGATGCGATAGGGTCATTAGGAAGTGCGGTCAGGATGTCTTTCCGGAGCTGGTCGATATCAATCAGAACGGCTGCCCTAAGAACCGGAGTTACTAGAGTTGAGGCTCGGAGGGACGAAGCTAACTGTTCCGAAGTGAATACCGGACGGAAATTGTGAGGGTTAACTCGAGCGTAGTCCTTATCCCCCTCTTTGGGATAGACGTCCCAGCGTCTAGTAAGGGAATCCGGTTTAGCTCCGAGTTTTCCGGGACGGAAACGGATGACTAGGTTAAACTGATGGAGGAATTCCGACCAGCGGGCCTGACGGCGAGAGAGGAGTTTTGTGGTAGAGAAATACTCAAGGTTCTTATGGTCCGTGACAACGTCTATCGGCTCGGCAGAGCCTTCAAGGTAATGTCGCCACGTCCGAAAAGCTTCATGGATGGCTAGAAGTTCCTTATCGTGAGTGTCGTAGTTGAGTTCCGGAGCGGTAAGCGTCCGAGAATAAAATGCCACCGGACGAAGCTCTGAGTCCGGACATACTATGGAAAGTATTCCGGCTATAGCGTAGTCAGAGGCGTCGGTTTCTACGACTATCGGAACATTCGGAATCCAGTGCGTAAGCACCGGAGCGGACGTGAAAGCTTTCTTGAGTGTTTCAAAAGACTTCCGACAATCATCGGAAAAATCCCAAGTAACCCCCTTGCGGGTAAGACGGGTGAGCGGAACTACGATGTCCGAGTAATTGAAAATGAATCGACGATAGAAATTTGCGAATCCGAGGAAGGATTGAATATCCTTAACTTTCCGAGGTTCCGGCCAGTCAACGATGGACTGGATCTTCTCGGACGACATGGTCAAGCCGTCCGGAGATAGGATGTAACCAAGGTATTCAACGGATGTGGTATGGAACGCGCATTTTTCGGGTTTAGCATAGAGTCGATGTTTTCGGAGACGGAGAAGGACTTCTCGGACATGTTCCTTATGGGATGCAAGGTCTTGGGAATAGATGAGGATGTCGTCCAGATATACGATAACGCATACATCCAGCATATCAGCAAACACGCTATTGACAAAGCGTTGGAATGCAGCCGGAGCGTTAGTGAGACCTTCCGGCATTACCAACCATTCATATGAGCCATAACGCGTTCGGAACGCGGTCTTCCATTCGTCTCCGTCCGCTATCCGGACGAGATGATAAGCGGATCGG